GACAAGCCGAACTCGAGCTCGCCACGGGGATTTATGGCACTGGGCAACTGGAGCATCCCGCTGCTGTCCTCTGGCACCGATGCGTTCGGGAAGGGCCGCAAGGGGACGTTCTCAGTGCGCGACTGCAGAATGCGCGAGCTGTCGGCGGTGATGGCCGATGACGAGCCAGCCACGACCGCTACCCAAGCCACTGCAACGGCTGCAAGTGCATCATCCAAGCCCACTGAGAAGAGTCATGGCAAGTCCGGCGCAAACACACCCGCGGATGTCCTGGCACAGGTCGGGGCTGGGTTTGGCTTTGAGCTCGCGCTGGCAGACGCGTCGCACTACTACCTCGTCGCTCCCGACTTTTTCCAAGCGCGATCGTGGATGGGTTGCATCATCCGTGCCGGTGGCACGATTGCCGTCGATTCGCTCATCGAACGAGACCTTGCACTCATCGAGAACTGCGTCACAGAGGTCATGTATCAGCGTCAACGGTACGTAAAACGCTTCGCTTTCGTTTCATTGTGTCGGTCGACTCGTGTGACACTGTGACATTGTAGTAGAGACGCAGGGAGGTGTATGGCCATGGAGATTCTGGGTTTGCCGCGGCTTGCTTTGTGACCACAGCTTGACTTGTGCTTGCTGACCGTTTTCCTGCTCTCATCTCGTCTTCAGGCACATCCCAATCGCCGGATTCACGTCCAGCCTGCTGCCCTACGACCCGTACGGATTTAGTCACGATGTGGATGGGCGCGTCGCAATGAATGGCGACGAGGCTGTGCCTTTGGAGAGCGATTGGCGTTGGGTAGGGTGCTGGCAGGTGGCGCCTCCAGTGTCGCTGCCGTTTGCCGAGCACGGTAAATTTGAAGCGCAGCTGCGCAAAGAAGTCGAGAACGTCAAACCCTCCCTCATCAGAGGCTTCGCTGCGCCGTGTCTGGTGCCTGCGAGCGACATGTTTGGCTGGGAGTTTGCGACTGGCTTTTGGATTGACTTTGGCTACTCGCCGCAAATGTCGTGGTCGCATCAAGTTCGACGGAGAACTTGGAAGCGGACGCGCGTTATCAACGAGATCCGGGTTGTCGAGGCGCGGTTTGACATCATGGACTTGATGCTTTTGCGCTTGGAGCGAAAGCTCGAGCTCGCCTTGCAGCCCCCAAAGTCAGCAGCGCAAGAGCAGAGAAGCGAGCACTCGTCCAACAAGTCCGGCAAGGCGGCGGGTGACCGTTCCAAGCCGCGTGGCTTTGACATGCGGCATGACTCGCCAATGAGCCTCAATGTGGTCAAGCAGGACGCGCGACGGGTGCACCAGTTCATGGCCAATCTCACGCGCATGTTTGGAGTCTCGTCTGGACTGTTGACCGATGAACAGCACCTTGGCGCCAAGGCGCGACTCCTCGCTATGCAGAAGCGCGCCGCCGCGGCAGAACTGCAGCTCGATGGGTTTATCCAAAAGAAGAACGCGTACACTGCCAACCAACTCAACGCACTCCGCCACAAGCAGCAGCAGGCTCAAGGAGCGTCTAGTAGTAGCACTGTCGTCGCCTCGGCGCAATCGACAGGCGAGCTGGACTTTGACGCAACCACCGAAGACCCGAGCGAAGACGCAGCAGCAGCAGCAGCAGCAGACCCAGGCATTCTGCGCGTCTGGGGTCGTCCGACGCCCATTCGCCCATACACACCCGACATGGAGACCGACGAGACCCGCGAGTTGGATACTCCCGCACTGGTTCAGCTCCAGCGCAAAATCATGACGGAGCAGGACAAGGCGCTTGATGTTCTGCTGGGCACTTTGCAGCGGACTGGCAAGATTGCCACCGCCATCGGCAGCGAGCTTGACCGTCAGAATGTCATGCTTGCTGACTTGTCCAACGCCATGGACCGTACAGGTCTGAGTTTGGACGATGTGATTGAGCGAGGCAAAATTATTGAGCGCAATGCTTGAACGCGTTGATTTTTTTTTTTTTTTTTGTTTTGGCTTCCTTGTAGTTTCAGTTTGTTTGCTTGTTGTTTCGGTTTTATTTGAATTTCAATGATGCCTTTTGTACAATAGACATGTAGTCGCATCCGGCTTTCGAGCCAAAGGTATCCAATAAATAAAATTGAGATGTCAGTCTTCTTAGCTTTTGGCTTTGTGTTTTTGTTCTTGGTTTGGTTTTCGATTGACGAAAGCAGTAATAATGCTGTTGGACGAGAGTATGACTGAGAGACAGCGCGAGTTGTATGACAAAGTCAAGAATGCGAGTGACTCGCTCAGGCAAGAAAGACAGTCGAATCTATTGGGGGAAAGCGGTGCATTCAGCTCCCCTATGTCGAACACGACGCTGACTAGGCTCGTGTCGGCATCTGACGCTCGTGCATGCGGGTGGATGATGACTCACTGATGGATGGCGACCGGCAGTCTGGAGAACATGCTTGCGGGCGATGCAGGAGCAACGGCGATTGCTGAGGCGCTCAAAGTGAACAAAAGTCTGAGAAAACTCTGGTAAGGCATCTCAATTTGACTGATCCATGTGAGTGGGAAAATGCCAACAGAAGGCTTTTTGAGTGCTCACTGATAGCGGGGGACGGACAGTCTGACGCTGAATCAGATTGGTGATGCCGGTGCGCAGGCGATCGCCAAGGCACTCCAAGTGAACACGACGCTGACAAATCTCCTGTAAGTTGTCTCGCTGCGACCGATGCATGTGTGTGGATAATCCAGCTGAGGGCATTCCGAAGTGCTCATGGATGAAGCCGGGGGTGGGGGGTGGCGGTGGATGTACAGATTGTGGAGGAATCAAATTGGCGATGCTGGAGCGCAGGCGATTGCTGAGGCGCTCAAAGTGAACACGACGCTGAAGGAGCTCCAGTAAGGCACATCTACTTACGTGATGCACATGGGTGGTGCAGTAGAGAACATTCAGAGTGCTCACCGACGGATGGGGACGGACAGTCTGGACTACAACCAGATTGGCGATGCGGGTGCGCAGGCGATCGCAGAAGCAT